TTTTTCGAATTGCGTACTGCTTCCGGATAGTCGCCGTAGACTAAGGGGTCGATACTAAGCCCGAGGCCAGTGTTGACGTTGGAATTCTCGGCAGTAGTAACATCTTCCTCTGCGCTGCTAGCTGCTCGGGCAAACTGTGGCCCCGCGCCGAAGCCAACCAGTCCTGTAAAAATTTTTCGAGCTGTCAAGCCTGCCGGGAGTACATTCACCCTGCACTAGATTAGGCTAAAGATTACTAAGACCTTCAAGGGTTTGACTAGAACGTGGCTACGAGCTTTTAACGGTTTAGTGAAGAAAAGTAATACACAATTTCCACATTACGGGAAATCAAGAAAACACTTTGCGCACAACTGCAAAAAAAAAAAAAAATAATGTCCTTTGACTGGGCACCATGTTCCACACACGCTTACAGCACATTTAAATTGGCAGAGCGGCCAAATATTATACGCAGCTTTCCTTACAACACAGATTGTCTCACTGTTTAAGCCGTACGAAGGAAAATGCCAAATCCTTCGTAGCCTACGAAGGATTTTGAAGCGTTGTATTACGAACTAATTGTTTGTAAGCTTACGAACAAATAGTTCGTAACGCAAACCGATTGTTCGTAAGACCCTGTGTAGCCTCACAAACATTTGCTTTGCAATACGAACTTTTTCTTAGCTATACAAAGGGCGAAAATTGTTCGTAACGTTGGAAAGTATTTAGTCTACTTTGTCACGCTTCTCTGACTTACATCACTCACAACAAAGGTGACCCATAATGAAACCAATCCAGAGACACTGCGCGCCAAGCAGTCAAGACACGCTGAAAACATCTTTCAGACTCACTCAATCGGACAGACGAAACAAGTGATAGAAGACGAGGGCCGGCAGTAGGAGGCAAACCACCGAACACCTGACTATTCGCCTAGTCGCTAGACCTACTGGTCCCGCTCAGCAAGATGCTAGCCACATAAAGTTAAGGGGGCATCTTAGCACAGTGGCAGAGTGCAGCGCATGACGGATCAAGCATGTCTTAAAGATGTCCCCATCATATCTGGCTACACATCAAACATTTTTTCGTGAAGGCCCCTGGTTGATTTGGGAAAGCACTTCCCATTGTGCTTTTCCCTCCAAATTTTTTTAGGTTATGTAGGAACTTTTGAGGAAAAAACGCGCATTTGGGGGGATTTTGACGGCGAAGTGGTAATCAAACAATTTTAAGGACGGGCCGACTTCATTTCTACCTCCAAGGCTCACAAATCACCAAAAATGCGAAATTAGTAGAAAAGTCGTTAACTTGTGTTCTGCGCATGCGCCAGATAAAACCGGGAACTTTTCCGGAAACAACTGGGAACTTCACGGAAACATGCTTGCTGTGTAGCCACTTTCTGTGCGGGACTAGTATTGCGACACATCGCTTAGCGTCCCTCCACTTTGGCCCGGTGGAGAGCGATCCGGACGTCTGGGCGAATAGTCAGGGGGTTCGCCTCCCACTGGTGGCCCGTCATCGCTCACTTTTTTGCGTTTGTGTGATTGAGTGTGTCTTTAAGATGTCTTTAGCGTGTCTGGACTGCCTGGCCCGTGGTGTCTCCAGATCGATAACACTATGGACACTGTGAAAAATACCGTCGTAAATTTACATAAAATTGTAAAATAAAATTATAATTTAAGTCGGAAATTTATGAGGGCTCATTTTTACTCGCCAATGAATTTGAAGTCTTAACGTGCTGCATGTATTTTTACGATTTCAAATTGTAATTTTACAACTTGCGTCAAGGAAAATTTTCCTGTAAACGTTCCTACTATTTTTCACAGTGGATGACAGTTGTGTCTGAAGACAGTCTGAAAAGCGCGACAAAGTTTTCTTCCTTCTGACTTCTTTGATCTACTCTTCCGATACCATTGTCATAATAGTCATGTCGCACACGGGTTAGACCAGTTCCCAAAAACACTTTTTTCGAGAGTCGGCCAGGGCCGCTCGAATTTTTGTTGCAAATAATTCAAAGTTAAACGCCCTTCAACCGTTTTGAGGTGGGACGACGCTAATCCCGTGCCGCAAAGCAGTACTTTTTTGTGTTTCCTCATTATTAAACACGGTATTACTAAAACAGCTGCCGTTTTTTTAACCCTGTGGCCGATTTCGATGCTACAGCATTGCCAAGGGCATGTTTGGAATTCTGAGCAAATTTCGCATCGACATGTTGCTGGTTCGGATTTTTAGGAGCTAGAGGGGTCATTGTTTAACCTAAAACTGCAAATTTTGTGCTTTGAGCGAAAAGTCTAAAATTGACTAAAACTTTGAATGGCTATATCTCCTAAAGTATTGAAGCTACAGCGAAGGGACTTTGCATAGATTTACCAGTATGTAACACGAACGTACCATGCAAAGGGCATCGAAATCGGCTACAGGGTTAAAAAAACGGCAGCTGTTTTAGTAATATCGTGTTTTAATGAGAAAACACAGAAAAGAACTGCTTTGCGGCACGGGTTAGTGTTGTCCCGCCTCAAAACGGTTTAAGGGCGTTAAACTTTGAATTATTTGCAACAAAAATTCGAGCGGTCCCGGTCGATTTTCGAAAAAAACGAGTTTTTGGAACTGGTCTAACACGGCGATGGATAAGTTATGACTTCTTTTCGTCGCAGTCAAGACTCAAAAGCGACTCAATAGCAGATGCGCTATGGATGCTGGCAATTTCACCTGATCCTTGTGGAAGACAACCTGTCACGTGCGGGTTCTCAGCATTTGTCTGCAGCGTATAGTTATATTCGTAAGGAAGGAGGGGTGTGACTTGGGAAGCAAATCAGCAAATGCTGCGTAGTGCAAAACAACTAGTGTGCCTATAAGCAAGTGTTCCGTCGTAAAGATCAATAAATTTATCCTATTAACATTATTTTTTCACTCGTAAATAAAACAAAGTAGCGCCGCATAGCGGGTTGAAGGCTATCATCAATCGAGAGGCTGGGGCGTTAATAACAGTTCCGACGACGTCGAGGGGTCCCCCACCCTTCAAAGTGGGTGTAGAATAAACTCCGCTAGTATTGGCGAGTCATCGCGAGTTTTTAGACAGTTATCGCAAGTCGTGCGAGTATTTTTCCTCGTGTGCACGAGTTGACGTTGGCGAGTGAGGGAACCCTCGGACGAAGTTCATTGGACACGTCAAAAAAAACTCCGCGTGCCAATTGGAAAGCGTGTTCAAACGGCAATTAGGTTATTTACCTTTGTACTTGGCCTTATATTTCTCTTGATATATCTTGTGGGCTTTAGCGTGAGCTAAAATTGTATTCTTCAGGCACGAGTTCTGCTTGTCTGTTGTGGTAAGAGTAGCTGGAGCTAAGAAAGATCCACCAAGAACGTTGCAGTAAAAAGCTGCCTCGTTGACTGTCAGCCAATACTTAATCTAGGGCAGAAAATCCGAATTTTTTTTGTTAGTTGTAAGTGCGAGCCATCAGAACAATGAGTGAACTTATGGGGCACCAGATGTCGTCTTGAGTATAATACCTCCCTAACCTTAAAGACAATTGATATGGAATACAAACGGTTTTTGTTGCATTCCAAAGAATGAAAATTGTTCGTAACGTTGCGAAGCATTTAGTTCGTACGCATTTTACAGTGCACATTGCTCACCTTGCTGCCGTACTCGTTGAAGAGGAAGTCCGCATAGTTTGCAAACACGTCAACCATCTCGTCGCCTGCCCAGCCGCCGAACTTGTCCTCTAGAGCTTGTGGGTAGTCGAAATGAAATATCGTCACCTATAAAGTAAGATATTTACTATAGGAACTTCTGAAACAGCTGTAAAGTAATGTCACGTGAGGCAAGATTTCGCACTTTACATTGTCCTAAAAGTTATCGTGCTTTGACAAATTACTACTTAAAATCTAAGTGATTATACAGTCTGATGGTATATGCTTAGCGTAGAAAATTTTCAGACTGTTCTTCCATAAAAACCGTTCTCCAATTAGTTTGTTTTAAGAACGTAAGGTTAGCAGCGGGGTTTGCATTTGAATTAATAATCTTCCGATAAAAACTTACCATTGGTTCGATGTTGTGATTACGTAACTCATCGAGAAGGTTGTGGTAATGTAGCACCCCCTTCGCATTAGCTGGTTGAGACGAATCCCCATCTGGGAAGATTCTCGACCACGAGAATGAGAACCGAAAAACGTTCAGCTTCAAAAAATTAAAAATGGAATGTAATTTTATTTGTACGATCTACGTGATAATCTGAAACAGAGTAGGTACTGACTGTTCCTTACACCAATTTTAGCTGCTAAGCCGATGTCCTCTTTGTAATGCCCATAGAAGTCGGCGGCAACTTCATTCAACACACTAACGGACGAGTTCATCGAATGATAGTAATAGTCAAAGACATTTACTCCTTTTCCTGTCAACATGAATAACAAACTCGTTTCCATGCAATGTAATTTGTGGGCGATAATGTAGCCCCTTACTCCTTCTATAAAAGAAACCCTCCTAAATCTACAAAACTTATTTGTAATTTTTATTTACAAAATATGGTGTAAATTTGTAACAGCCTGCAAACTGTGCATGCGCAGTAGACTGCACCCGGGATCGTACTGATGGTAAAAAAATAAGCGTAATAAGAGAACTTTGTAAAAATGGGGCCAGAAATAGGGTGTACTACCGTGTGTTAACGTACTAACCCGTACGCTTTCACCTGGAGTGATTTCCCACAGCACCTGAGTTTTATCACATGGTTTAACGTACCGTCAGTGTCCCAGGCCCCTTCTGTCTGGATCGCGCTGGTCCCACCTCCAAGAAGGAAATCGTCCGGGAGCTTGTACTTCTGGTCGTCGGAGAGCAGCGGCCCGGCGCGGGCGGCTCCCAGGCTGAGCAGCGCCACAACGAGCACCGTAGGCGTCATGGCAGCAACGGTGGCCGTGTCAGCCTCCCTGTTATTTAAGTACGCGGCCTCAGACAAGGTAGCTGAGAGACATGGATAAGAAAAAAAAATACCTCAGAAAAATAACAATAAATAAAAATAAAACTACTTAAGCTGTGATGCGAAAGCCATTACTGACGTCCACTTAACTGCGACATCAGGACCAAGGCGACGTGCCTCCATTCAGGTCTTGGTCGGCGATAAAATCGAGAATCAATCGTTTCGCTCGCCGTTGCACGCGCTGTCTCGCTGTCTTATGACCTAGTCGTATTGTGGGGTGTAAATTTATTTAACAGCATCACCTTACTTCAGAATTCAAGGATATGTATTGTAAAATAGAATTTCACAGCTCTAAAGAGATGCACTTGAAAAAAAAACCAAACATTAGTGCTAAGGACAGCTGTAACACCCCAAGAACATTTTGCTCTTGAACCGGCTCCAAGAACATGCTTGAATAAGAGCATATGTTGCTAATTATACGACAACGAAGGGTATCGCATTACTCTGATTTGCAGGGTTCAGCCTATTTTTATGACGAACACCGCGCACTGTTGGCCTTACATCAATGTAGCTGGCTCAAGAACAGTCAGTCGTAAAATGAGAGGGAGTGTCGAACGGTTAGCAACAATATGCTCTTGAGCCAGCAACGGGCCTTGATGATCGGTGTGACCTTAGCACTAAGGTATTTGCTTTTCGGTGTGTGTGGTGTTCCTACATTGTACTTTTCTTGGACTCAAAGAAAATTGCATTGATTTAAACTAGCAGGCCCGCCCTTCCGCCAAACGAAGTTGCCAGCTTCGCTTCGCTACGCCGGCAACTCCGTTCGGCAGGGGCCGGGCCTGCTTGGCCTGCCGGCGGCGATGGTCGGGCCTGCGGCCCGACCATTCCTGTCTCGCGAATTGCTGAAGAACATCGTCGTCCTTAAAATTTGCCCCGTAGACACGATGTAACGTCGAAGCACCGCGACTACAACCCACCCTTCTGCTTATAAAACGTTTTTTGGGGGTGGGGGTAGAGTTTCTTTCCTATTTTGCGGTTTTTAGGACTTATTCTACAACTTATTGTTCACTGTGGCAATTTTAAGCTTATTTTCGTCAAAAACCTTAACACTGCGTGTTAACAAATAGACGATCTGAATAAAACAAAATCTAATACAAAATTATTTTTACTAATTAAATACGTTATTGCTTTCTAGAACAAGAGTAGTTACGACTCTTTGTTCTGAGATTCACGGCCTTGTGCGTTGTTGTCGTCCGTCTTTGCTGACACTGACCCTCACAAAACCCCCCCGCAGGCGGAACAAAATTGGGGGACTAACACTTCTTATGAGTTCCCTTGCGAGACCATGCAGTTAGTTGTTGGGCGAGTGAGTGGCGACGTGGTGATCGCCCTCGCTTTGGACGAGCGCTAGACCGACCAACCAGAGGTGCTCGTCGTTGAAGTCGAGGCCTTGGCGGTCCTGCGCCCTGGCCTGGGCTACCTTCAGGCCAGGCTTGGAGGAGTGTTGAGTGTATATTGTTTGTGGGGCTGGGAGCGCCTGGATGGGGAGTGGCCTAGCGCACAGTAGTGATTGTTGGCCGGCGGGGGGAAGTTGGGACGAAGCATAACGCACCACTCCCCCGCGCGCCAAACCTGCTGGTATAGACTGGATCGTCTAAAAAGACCCTCTAGCTCCTAAACGGTTAGAGATAGAGCAGGAAGGGCCCCTGGGTCCCTCTTGTTTATTTTTGGGAAAGACTCCTCTCTCGGACCGATTTTATTCCAAACCCTGTTTCCGCGTTTGTGGTGTCACCCAGGCCGAGCCTTTTAATTGGTCGTGTTTCTGCGGGCCGTGTGCGTCTTTATCTCTGCTGGTCGTTGTGTCCTGTCCGGGGCGTGGCAGGCGAGGCTGTGCGAACAACGATCTGCGCTTGGGCCGCTCGGGCGGGCACGGGCCTCCGGAGCGACCGGAGGGACCCACCACCATCGCCGCCGGCAGGCCAATCAAGCCTGAGCCCTGCCCAACGGCGGAAGGGCGGGCCTGCTTGTTTACGAGTGCACTGTGTTGTCGTGGCCCCGACACACGGCACAGTCTATGTACCATTTATATCTTGGTGATTTTCAGAAAGTCCGTGCATAATCTTCCTATTTCTTTCCAATGTTTTTAGACTGGTTTTGTGGGTTGTTTATTGACAATTTCTGCCCCAAGTGCAGCTGCTTATCTCTCAGGTGATTGAGCTTTGCGCAGTTTTCTCGATTAGAAGAGGTTGATTCCTGCTCTACTCACACTCCTTTGACGCGCAACTGCCAACTCCTCGATGAATCCCATCTTAAGTGTGAAGTGGCGTTTGATAGAGACCGAAGCCAAAACCTACAATCTCCCGGAACAACTTTGACCTCGTGTAGCGCTGTGTGCGTGCGTCTGTTTAACTTTGGGGAGCGGGACTATCTGTTTTACGAACATAATAAGTACACTATCAGTAATCTTCCAGAAAATGTAAGGCTAATTTTTGTGGCAGGTGGTGTTGTACACTGTGTTTACAGCGCAGTTGTGAAATTACAATAATGGCTATAGAACCCTAAAAATTGCCGTCTATACTTAAACATCTTACACACGTATACGTTTTCAGGGCAGCGCTGTAATACCACGGTAATACAGAATAGCTGGCAGACTACAACATCGGCTGTAGAATCTGTCACAAAAATATTTAGGGGATATATTTTTTTTCCGTATCAGCACGATAGCTTAAGTGTTTCTAATGCATTAATCATGCATTTTCTCTTAATTTGAGTACCTCTCTTGCACTCTGTCTACAAATTTAATCCTGAACTTCACTTTGCAGGCAGAGTTTTACATGAGACCTGTGGATTTGTTAAAACCAGGATAACATTACAACCCTGTAGTAATTCTAGAGTGGCGCCATTATTTCACAGATGTGTCAATGAACTTACAGGCCCAGCTATAAACTTAAATTACAACATTCGTGGCAAAACTACACTTCCTATACCATAATCACGTTTTACGGATAGGGCTGTCGTTTTCCCAGAAGCCTGTGAAATGTTAAAGGGGTCTCAAACTCGCGTCCCCCGAGCCACCCACTTAGGGATCTAAGTCCTATGTAAATTACACGTAAGATTTTAAATTATTCACGCCAGTTACGATATATGACACGAGGACAAAATTACATGAAATTTATGGAATCTATTTTAAATCAAAAAACAGCATATTTTTGCATTAAACGGCAAAATTTTCAAGGTTGCCGTTACAAGTGTGAAGCTTAGACGTCGTTTTTAAAGTTATTTGACGCCAGAAGTCAAAACTATATTGAAACTTATTTCTCCGAGTAGGTTTGCCTGACTCCCTTTCTGGTCCGACTTGCCCATTATTTATAAGATTCTACTTGCTACTTTCACTGCATGAATGAATCGTAGAGTTGTGTTCGAACTATTGAACACAATCGTGCTGTAACGTAATACGTCTTGGGAAACCTGACTTAATTTTTTTTTCTAAACGTGATCGAAAGTCACTTTTCTTTCCGGAAAAACATTAATGTATTGTTAGGCACCAGCGACACAATGCATTGAGGCTGCCTACTTGGCACCCCTTTGGGGTGTTTTTATTATGTCACGCTCAAACCCGCTCAAACCCGATGAGTGTTAGTGGAATACTAACGGCAGCCAGAAGGACATAACCTGCCTGACGTAAGGGCACGAAAAAATCACTCACTTAATTTGGATATTTTTCCGCCAATTTTAAGTGCCG